CTCCTCGCTGCTGCTGCTGCTGCTGCTGCTCCTCCTCCTCTTCCTCCTCCTCCTCCTCCTCCTCCTCCTCCTCATCTGCCTCCTCCTCCTCGCTCCTCCTCGCTTCTCCTCGCTCCTCCTCCTCCTCCTCGCTCCTGCTGCTGATGCTCTTCCTCCTCCTCCTCCTCCTTCTCCTCCTACTCCTCTTCGCTCCCCCTCTCGCTCCTCGCTTCTCGTTCGCTCCTCCTCCTCCTCCTCAACTCCTCCTTCTCCTTATCCGAATCGTTCTCCTCCTCGCTGCTCTTCCTCATCTTCCTCCTCGCTCCTCGCTCCTCCTCCTCCTCGATCCTCGCTCCGACTCCTCGCACGTCTTCACTCGTCCACGCTGCTCCTCGCTAATCCTCGCCCCTCCTGCTGCTTCTCCTCCTCCTACTCGCTCCTCCGCCTCCTCCTTCTCCATTTCCTCCTCGCTCCTCCTCCTCCTCCTCCTCCTCCTCTTCCTCCTCCTCCTTGTCCTCCTCCTCTTCCTCCTCCTACTCCTCCACCTCCTCCTCCTCCTCCTCCTCGCTCCCCCCTCTCGATATTCGCGCCTCGCTGCTCGCTCCTCGCTGCTCGTTCCTCGCTGCTTCTCCTCCTGTTCCTCCTCCTGATCTTCCAACCGTATCTCCTCCTGCTCGCACATCGCTCCTTCCCCTCCTCCCTACTCGCTGCTCGCTCATTCCCCTCCTCCTCCTCCTCCTCCTCCTCCTCCTCCTCCTCTTTCTCCTCCTCGCTCCTCGCTCCGCCACCCACCACCTCTTCCTCCTCCTCCTCCTCCTACTCCTCCTCGTTCCTCATCCTCCTCCCGCTCCTCGCAGCTTCATCGATGCTCCTCCCTCCTCCCTACTCGCTCCTTCCTCCTCCATCTCCTCCTCCTCCTTCTCCTCCTCCTTCTCTTCCTGCTCCACTTCTTCCTTCTCCTCCTCCTGATCCTCGTCATCTCCCTCCTCCGTCTCGCTTGTCGCTCCTTCGATCCTCTCTGCTCGCTCCTCCCTCCTCCTCCTCCTCCTCCTCCTCTTCCTCCTCCTCCTTCTCCTCCCCAACCTCCTCGCTCCTCACGAATCGCTCCTCGCTCCTGGCTGCTCGCTCCCTCTCCTAGCTTATCCACATCGCTCCTCCTCGCTCCTCCTCCTCCTCCCCTCCTCATCCTCCTCCTCCTCCTCCTCCTCATCATCATCATCAACATCATCATCATCATCATCATCATCATCATCATCATCATCATCATCATCATCATCATCATCAACATAACCATCCTCATCCTCATCATCATCCTCACCTCATCCGTGTTCTCATCCCCATCCTCATTGTCACCATCATCAGCATCATCAACATCGTCATCACCATCACCATTACCGTCACCATCACCATCACCATCATCATCACCAGCATCATCATCACCACCATCTCCACCATCACCATCACCATCACCATCACCACCATCACCATCATCACCATCATCACCATCATCATCACCATCGGCATCAGCATCAACATCATCATCATCAGCAACATCATCATCATCACCACCACCACCACCACCACCATCATCATCATCATCATCATCATCATCATAATCATCATCATCAACATCATCATCATCATCATCATCATCATCATCACCATCATCATCATCATCCACATCATCATCATCATCATCATCATCATCGTCATCATCATCATCAACATCATCATAATCATCATCATCACATCATCATCACTATCAACATCATCAGCCTCATCAGCGTCATCAGCATCATCGTCAACTTCATCATCGTCATGATCATGACCATGATCATCTTCGTCCTTGCTCATCGCGTCTCGCTCATCGCTCCGCCGCCACCTCTTCCTCCTCGCTCTTCTTCCTCCTCCTCCTCCGCCTCCCGCTCCTCGCAGCTCGCTCCACATTCCCCCGTCCTCGCTACTCGCTCCTCCATCTCAACCTCCACCTCCACCTCCACATCCTCCTCCTCCTCCTCCTCCTCCTCCCCCTCCCTCTCCTCCACGCTCGCTCCTGCTCATCCTCCTTTACCTCGCGCCTTCTCCTCCTCCACCTCCTCTTGCTCCTCCTCCTCCTCTTCCTCCAGCCAGCCTCCCAAGATAGCCTCAAGGTGGTCCCACAGGCCTCCATGATGACCCCGTGACGCCCAAGCCAAAACGGCCCCAAGAGGGCTTCAAGACGGCCCAATAGGCCTCCAAGGCGCCCAAGATGGCCTCCAAGATTGCCAAACATGGTCCCCAATGGCCTCCCAGACGGCCCAAGAGGATCCTAGATGCGTCCAAGTTCCGCCCAGGAAGCCTCCACGACGGCCCAAGACGGGAGGGCTTGCAGAGGCCAAGATCATTGATTACCCTTAGGTTTTAAGGAGTTTGCCCTTTGCTTCGTTTCGGCATTCCGACGGCCCAAGACGGCCCGAGAGCCCCCCAAAATCGCCCCAAGATGGCCCCTAAATGCCTCCAACATGACCCCGTGACGCCCCAAGAAGCTTCCAAGGCGGCCCCAAGAGGGCCTCAAGACGGCCCAAGAGGCCTCCAAGACGCCCAGGATTGCCTCCAAGACGGGCCTGAAGCGCCCCAAGAGGGTCCAAATCGGTTTTGAGAGGCATCCAAGTCGGCTTCCGACAACGTCAGACGGTTCATGAAACGCCTTAAGACGGCCCAAGAGGCCCCCAAGGAACCCCAAAACGCCCCCAAGAGGCCCAAGGAGGCTTCCCAGAGGCCTCCAAAGGCCTGCAGGAAACTCCCAGGCCCCAAGTGACCTCCTCCTCCTCCGCCCCCTCTTCCTCCTCCTCAGCCTCCTCCGCCTCCTCTTTCCCTTGTCCTCCTCCCTCTCCACCTTCTCCTCCTCCTCCTCCTCCTCCTCCTCCTCCTCCTCCTCCTCCTACTCCCCCTCCTCTTCGTCCACCTCCACATACATCTCCACCCTCCACCTCCACCTCCTCCTCCTCCTCCTCCTCCTCTATGTTTCCTCCCTCTCCTCCGCTTCTTCTTTCTCCCCCGCGTGTTCCCCGAAGGGTTTCCACACCAACTGGGGGAACACATGGTCCGATAGCTTGGCAGAGCTCTGGCCACGACGCTCGGCTGCATGGGCGATTCCCAAAGGCAGGGGGGCGGCGGTGATTCGCCGCAAGCGTCTTCGATAACTGAGGAAACGCACGAAACAAAAATAACTCCCGCTACGCTTAGTTCGGGCCTGTCCCCCTACAGGGGGATTACGTGCGACAACATTCTACTACTCTTTGACTATTTTTGAATATTCCTCCTGTAGAGGGACAGGCCCGATTTAACGCTACGCGAGCCCCCCCCCTTCCCTGCCGCTGCCCAGGCGAGTTCCAGTGCGTCCGGCTCGCGCCGTGGCAGCTCGGGGCTCGCATCGCGCGAGGCACCCCCCCTTCAGAAATTGGACAGGTGGATCGGCTCGGGGGCGCGAAGAGATGCAGGTCGCACGGTTCCCCAGCACGTTTGCAGTGTTGCAGGGGGAAGGCGGCGGAGGAGGAACTGGTAGGGGAATGTGAAGGAGAGGTTCTATATATATATATATATATATATATATATATATATATATAGAAAGAGAAAAAGAAAGAGAGAGAGAGAGAGAGAGAGAGAGAAAGGGAGAGGGAGAGAGAGGGGGAGAGAGACGCAGCGCACGTCAGAGCTACACGAGCAGGAGAGATGGCGCCAAGGCAGCCGCTGCCGCCGGCAGAATCTGATGAAAACCTCCAAAAAAGCAAAGAGTACAGTACCACGGGCCAAATTGTAGAAAGCCTCAGCTCTTGGTGCAGCCTACCCACCAAGGAAATGTATGCACACAGAGCCCGCACATCGGGCCCTGCCTGAGCATCGGGGAACGAAGGCCAGTCGACGTGGTTGCGCTGAGTGGTAGCGTGCACGACATTTGCGGAGTGCGGCGCGATGGCGTACACCTGTACAATCAAAATATGCAAACATATGGTTACGTCGGATCGATGGCATTGCCGCCAAGATTGAATCCCCATGGCCACAAAGTGCGCGCCAGCGGGGGCGCTGCAGGCGGGCGTCGTGGCGGCGGTCTCTGCGCAGCTCGGCGGCGGCATCCCGCTGCGATGCTGTGGAAGAGGGGAGGGGACGCACGAGGGGAGAGAGGGACGCACGACAAGCGAGGACGAGAGGCGAGGCTGAGGGAGAGAGGGAGGGACGAACGAAAAGGGACACGACGAAGGAAACGCGAGCGAGAGAGATCAGATGGCACTTTAAAACGTGGTGCCACAAGATGATGGCCCATGGCCACAAAGTGCGCGCCAGCGGGGGCGCTGCAGGCGGGCGCCGTGGTGCCAACGTGTGAAGCACGAGCGGCGGCGGTCTCTGCGCTGCTCGGCGGCGGCATCCCACTGCGAAGCTGTGGGAGAGGGGAGGGGACGCACGAGGGGAGAGAGGGACGCACGACAAGCGAGGACGAGAGGCGAGGCTGAGGGAGAGAGGGAAGGACGAACGACAAGGGACACGACGAAGGAAACGCGAGCGAGAGAGATCAGATGGCACTTTTAAAACGGGGCGCCACATTATCTGCTGACGAATTGCCTTCAAGCGTTCCCCATATGTTGGTTCTGGCAACATCAAACCACTCTTGTTCAACACAACATGGTTCAGAGAGAATCAGCTGTCGCAAATCATCGGACAATCTCTTCTTCGGGTGATCCGGGTGTCGGCGAATCTCACAATCGAGATCAGCCCCTTGGTTCCACAACGTCGCCAATAAGTAAGCAGGACATAGCACGAACAACTAACAAGAACAAGACCCCAAACAACGGATACCAATGACGCATCGGACGCTGTTTAGGGCAACATATGAACTGATCTCGCTTGGCCAACTCGACCTATTCGCATCCGCCTCAGAAGAAGGTCCCTCCCCCATTCCTCCTCAACGCAAACCCCCACGACTTCCTACTCTCTCACCGGTGCACAGCTCGAGGGGGACCAACCGCCGCGAGCAAGCGGCGGAGCCCTCAGCGATGGCGCAGCGCCGCCGGGGAGGACAAAACGCGGTTCAAGGGCTTGTTCGCGGGCGCGCCGTAGACCATCGTGATGAAGGTGTTCCTCACCTCAAGCCTCCACCATGGGACCCCGTCCGCCCCGCTCTGGCGCTCCAAGCTGGGCTCCGTGCGCTTGCGCGGCTGGCCGTCGGACGTCCACGAGGTGGGCGCAGAACTCTCTTCGGTGCTTCCGCTCGGCTGGATGCTCGGAGACTCGGCGCGCTTGCCCTTGTTGGCGTGAAACGAAAGGGCCCTGAAGGAAACACGTCCTGGACCCCAGGTGCTTCACCCAGGTTCAGCTTTCCACCCAGGGCGTTTTTGTCGATGGCCCTGGGGCACCGAGGCCCCTGGGAAGCCTGAGGCGGCGACAGATCTTTGGAACCGCCTCCCTCACAACCCCTTCCATTCAAGGCGACCTTGCCCGCACCCAGCAGCGCCTCCTCCAAACACATGGCCGGGCGCAGCGCCTGAGTGAGGGAGAAGGTTCAGGGGGGGACTGGCTTCTGGGAGAAACATCGACCTGGAATCGGCAATACATGGCCGATTGGACCCCCGATAGCAACTCCGCACCTTGCTGGGCGGGCTGGGCCATCGGGCCCCTGCTGGTAATGAATGGGCCGATGCGTCCCCCCGTGAGCCTGTTCCCCCCCTAACTCGGAGGCGGCGACGGGGGCGCATAGACAGGGGTGGGCATTCAGCTTCTTCGCCCGGGAGCCTCGCCGAAGGGCATGGACCATCGGCGCCCCTGGATGCATGCATTGCTCTCCCCTGGGCCATTCGCTAGGGCTCCCAACTTCGCGCTTCGCGCTGCGCGAGGCACGAATAACTTCGCGCTCTCGCGCCGCCCCCCACAAGGGAGAACAGGAGGACGAGGAGGAGGGGGAGAAGGAACGAGGACCGCGAAGCGCGAATAACTTCGCGCCCTCGTGGGAGCCCTTGATTCGCCCCCCTCGTAAAGCCTCCGCCAGCGCTGCCCGTGCCTGAGCCCGCAGAGGCGCCGGCGCCCCATCGCCCGGCGGGCCGCCGCCGCGCCGCGGCGCCGTGCGCCCGCGGGGCGCGGCCTGGCAGCGCCGCTGCGCCGCGTGCTTGGCCTGCGCGCTGCCTGGGCTGGGCGCGCGCCTGCCCGCACCGGACGCGGGCGCCTGTTCGCGCGCGTCGACGCGCGGGCGGAGCTCGGCCAGGGCGTGAGCGAAGTTGCAGGCGCGGCCCTGGCAAGCGCCTGAGAGGACGACGGAGGGGCAGAGCCGCGTCCGGGTGAAGTCTGGTAGCGGCGAGAGCTCGCCCTGACCGTGGGCGAACCTGCAGTCCGCGTTTCTCGTGCAGGCGCCGGCCGCGAAGAACTTGCAGAACTTCGTCTTCACGTACAGAGGACTGGGACCGTGCATCGCCACTCGCGAACGCTGGTCCCCAAAGCCCGCCCGTAGCCCTCCGTGACCACGGCCATGTGGACTTTTGGAAAGCCCACTGGCCACATTGATGGTAGTAGGCATGCTGAACAGCAGCGAGGTTATTCACGCAGTGAGCTGAAGTTGCCAGAACTGGGATGGGCTTGAAGCCAAGTGTTATGGATTGGGGCTCATTTGGGGGCGTCTTGTGGTCTCCTTCGGGCACTTGGGGACCTCCCAGGACCGTCCTAACACGTGATTGAAAATTCACTATCCCCGTGCGCAACGAAGCGTCAAACAAACATTGGTTCACACATCGTGTTGGCTCTCGTGTTTTTTGTCCCAACTATCCTGTGGTGTTGGGTCCTTGTGTTGAAGAGACAGCGACCCGCATTCTCACTCCTCCTCCTCCTCCTCCTCCTCCTTCTCCTCCCCCTCCTTCCTCCTCCCCCTCCTCCTTCTCCAAGACAATTCGTCCCCTGGATCGGATGAGGAGTCTGAAGTCACTGTTTTTTTCGGTCCTCCCTCCTCCCCCGCTCCCTCCGCCGTCGTGCCGCCGCCGCTGCCGCCTCCCCCGCCTCTCTCCCTCGCCCAGCTGGAGCGCATCGCTGCCAACAGGGCAGAAGCAGCGAGGAGGCGCGAGGCCAGACGAGAGGCCGCACATCAGAGGCGTGCCCCATGGAGAGGCACGCTCAGTTTCTCGGCCTACTTCAAGGCCGGACCCGCCTTGTGCCCCCCCCTCTTACAGCTCGGGAGGGATAGGCACGAGTCGAGTATCCTCTAGAGTGACCACGGCACCTCGCCCATGGCATCGGCCCACCACCACCTCCCATCCTTGCCTCTGCCCTCCGCATGTCTCTCTGTGTCGGCACACCCCATCACACGCTTCGTGGCCCCATAGTAAGCTCCACCGAAGGCCCCAGAGGGAGGGTTCGCAGCGCACCACCGCACCCACTTCGGCACACCCCTCATACGGTTCGTGTCCCCATATGGAGTTCCACCGAAGGCCCCAGTGGGAGGGCTCGCATTACACGGTTCGTGGCCCCATCGGGAGCTCCACCGAAAGCTCCAATGAGAGGGTTCGCATGGCACCACCGCGCCCTTCTCGGTACACCCCTCACACGGCTCGTAGCCCCATAGAGAGCTCCACCTAATGTCCCAATGAGAGGGTTCGCATGGCACCACCGCGCCCTTTTCGGCACACCCCTCACACGGTTCGTGGCCCCACATAGAGTTCCATCGAAGGCCCCAAAGCGAGGGGTCGCATGGCACCACCGCGCCCAAGTCGGCACACCCCTCACACGGTTCGTGCCCCCACATAGAGTTCCATTGAAGGCTCCAAAGCGAGGGGTCGCATGACACCACCGCGCCCAAGTCGGCACATCCCTCACACGGTTCGTGGCCCCACAGGGAACTCCACCGAAGGCTCCAGGGGGAGGGTTCTCATGACACCACATCGCCCAAGTCGGCACACCCCTCACACGTTTCGTGGCCCCACAGGGAGCTCCACCGAAGGCTCCAAGGGGAAGGTTCGCATGACACCACCGAACCCAAGTCGGCACACCCACTCACACGTTTCGTGGCCCCGTAGGGAGCTCCACCGAAGGCTTCACTGGGAGGGTTCGCATGGCACCACCGCGCCCAAGTTGGGACACCTCTCACACGTTCCGCGACACCATGAAGAGCTCCACCGGAGGTTCCAGTGAGAGGGTTCGCATGGCACCACCGCGCGCAAGTCGGCACACCCCTCACACAGTTCGTGGCTTCATATGGAGCTCCGTCGAAAGCTCCAGTGGGAGGGGTTCGCATGGCACCACCGCGCCCACTTCGGCACACCCCTCACACGTGTCGTGGCCCCGTATGGAGCTCCGTCGAAAGCTCCAGTGGGAGGGGCTCGCATGGCACCACCGCGCCCAATTCGGCACACCTCTCACACGATTCGTGGCCCCATCGGGAGCTCCACCGAACTCCGCGCGATCCCTCGTCCCGACTACCAACTCGTAACATACGATAATGCCCACCCCTACTTCTGCCAGTCGTAATCATATGCGGTGCGCGCGTCGATCAAACCACTGTTCTTCGACACATCCATTGCGAACGTGTGTGTTTGTGTGTGTGGGTGTCAGCAAGCGTGGGCCCCGACCAATTTGTTGAACAACGGATGTGCAAGCTATGCCGTCTGACCATGCGGTGTAAAAGATGCGCTGCAAGCATGGCGGTGCAAGCTATATGGTGCAAGTTGTGTAGTGCAATCTACGCGTGGTGAAATAACTTGTTGCCGCCCAATGATTTGTCAACTTCACTACTCGCGCACTCCCCACATCCTGAATGGGGTTTGGTTTCCTGCAGCACCCTCTCATTATCCTTCCTCCTCCTCCTTCTCGTTCTCCTCCTCCTCCATACCCATACAAAGACCAGTACTCAGACGACGACTACTAATGCTACGGCTACTACGGCTACTACTATTACTCCTACTACCACTACTACTACTACTACAACTACTACTACTACTACAACTACGACGACTACTACTACTACTACTACTACTACTACTGCTGCTGCTACTGCTACTACTACGGCTACTAACGCTACTACTACTACGACTACTACTACTACTACTACTACTACTACTACTGCTACTACTACGGCTACTAACGCTACTACTGCTACTACTACTACTACTACTACTGCTACTGCTACTGCTACTACTACTGCTGCTGCTACTACGAGTACTGCTACAAGTACTGCCACGGCTCCGACTACTACTACTACTACTACTACTACTACTACTACAGCTACTACTACTACTACTGCTACTGCTACTACTACTACTACTACTACTACTACTACTACTACGATTACGAAACTGCTACGACTACTACGACTACTACTACTACTACTACTACTACTACTACTACTGCTAATCCTGCACCTTCTTCTACTACTATTACGACTCCTCTTGTCGCACCTACTACTGCTACGGCTACTGCTGCTACTACTGCCACAACTAGTATCACCATTGCTACTGCGATTTATGCCACTACTACTGCTACTACTTCTTCTTCTTCTACTACTACTACTACTTCTACTACTACTCCTACTACTGCTACTACTACTACTACTACTACTGCTGCTAGTGCGACTGCTGCTGCTACTACTACTACTACTACACTACTACTACCACTTCTTCTTCTACGACTGCGACTACTATTTCTCACCTCTGTACTACGACTTCCACTACGGCCACCACGGCGACCACTACTATTAGTACTAGTATTGCGTCCACGACTACTACTACTACTACTACTATTACTTCTACTACGACTCCCACTACTACCACTACTATTACTACTACTACTACTACTACTACTACTACTGCTACGAGTACTACTACTACTACTAAGACTACCACTACTACTACTACTACTAGTACTACTACTACTACTACTACTACTACTACTACTACTATTACTACTACTACTACTACTGCTACGACTGCTACTACTACCACCACCACCACCACTACTACTACTACTACTACTACTACTACTACTACTACTACTACTACACTGCCACTACTACGACTGCGACTACGAGTTCCACCATTGCTGCGACTGCTGGACCCACCCACGACTACTTGTACTACTGCTACAACTGCGGCTACAAGTGCAAACAATTCGGCTACCACGACGACGACGGCTGCTACTACTTCTACTTCTACTTCTACTACTACTACTACTACTACTACTACTACCTCTACTACTACGACTACGGCTGCTACTACTTTCCTTGCGGCCACAACTACTACTACGACAACACCAGCTACTACTGCCACTCTTGCGGCTACTGTTGCTACTACTGCGAAAACCAATTCTACTACTACGACTACTACTACCATTACAACTACTACCTTCAATACTAGTACCGCTTCTGCCACTACGAATTTCAATTCTGCTACCCGTGCGACTGCTACGACTACTGCTACTACAACTACTGCGACGACTACTACTAACTACGGCACTACTACTACGACGACTACCATTACTGAAACGACGGCGACAACGACTACTACTACTACGACTACTACTACTACGGCTAGTTCAACTGCCCATACGGCTGTAACCAAGAAGTCACTACTTGCTACTACTATCGCTATCACTACTACTATTGCCACGGCGCTCACTCGTGTTGCTACATCAACACTAACTACTGCGACCACGACTACGACTACGACTACGACTACGACTGCTACTGCTACTACTACTACTACTACTACTACTACTACTACTACGGCTGCTACTACTACTGCTACTACTACTACTACTACTACGACTACGAGTATTGCTACACTGCCTGCCACACGTGCTACTACTGCTACAACGACTGATACCGCCACCACCACTACTACCATTACTTCCGCTACGGCTGCCACTACCACTCTTACTACTACTACTGTTACTTCCACGGCTGCAGCTACTACTGCTACTACTACTACTCCTACTACTACTTACCCTGCTAGTGTTATTACCGCGGGTATGGGTGCTACTATGACTACTACTACTGTCACCACTACTACTACTACTACTACTACTACTGCTGCTACTACTACTACTACTACTACTACTACTACTACTACTGCAACTACAACTACTACTACTACTACGACTACGACCGCTACTCCCAGCTACTACTGCTGCTGTTACGGCGACGACCACTACTACTACAAGTACTATTACCACCACTATTACCAACAATGCTACTACTACTAGTTCTTCTACTACTACTACTACTACCAATACTAGTTCTGGTGCTACTACTACTAGTATTACTACTACTACTACTATTATTACTACTACTACTACTACAACTACTACTACTACTACTATTCCGACTACTACTACTATTCCGACTCCTACTACTACTGCTTCTACTACTACTACTACTACTACTACTACTGCTACTAGTAGTACTACTACTAGTACGACGACGGCTCATATTACTACTACTCCTACTACTGCTACGACTACTATTACGACTACCGCTACTACTACTACTACTACTACTACTGCTACTGCTACTGCTACTACTACTACTACTACTACTAC